ATTTAAATACCACATAAATATCAGCTTTTTCGTAAAATAATTTATAAAATGTTCTTAAAACAATCGTTTTGTCCAGCATTATTTCTGAAACTTATTTTTTTACACAACCTTCTTATTGGTTTGTCTTTGTTGTAAAATGAAAGAGGGTATTTTTTTTACTAAATTAAAATGCAAAACTCTCTTCTGCTAATGCACAAAATCAACTAGAATAATTTTATTCTGAGAGATAAAACAGTAAATCCTGCCACAGAATGTTGAAAACTGTTCATATTTGTCAGTCCAAACTCATATSTGTCCTCTCTCGCTAATTCAAAGGAGCTTTTCTCATTTAATATTGCCCTTTTCTTCATTATAGCCTCCATATTACCCTGGAACAGCTGTGGGGAAGGATTAGAATATTACAGGAGATTCATCTTTACAACGAGAATATWAACATCCTGTTTGAGTGAAGTGTTTTTAAAACCTGTTGCTCTCAGTCTGGACTCATTCTTCACAAAACTTTTGTACGACATATCAAAACAACTTCCAGAAATACAAATACAGAAATGAAAGAAAGTCTTCAAGTTTTTAAGGTTGCTGCAGCCACGCTTCAACAATGAAAACAAAACGATTTGTGGTGTTTGGTTTACGCGAAATGTCTCATTAAWTCTTTATTTTGAGGAATACTCTAAGCAGAAAAGCTGGTTAGAGTTGAATAAATCAACATCTCAGTTAGTTTTTAGGTTGAAACGATCAACTTTATACGTTTTGTTTAGTGTGTCGTTAATATCTGGGCAGAATAAATCTTCAAACTTTTTGTTTGACAGACAAAAACACATTATAAACATGTACATGCGTAATTAGAGAAGAATTTTGCATTTCAGGATTTTCTTCAACTAATGTCCTCAATCCTTTGCTGCAAATTTAGCATTACTGTCATAAAAATTAATAATTAAAAAACTTTGTTAATAGAAAGACTGTGCACCATTAAATACTCTGATACAAGTTCCTCTTGTTACTGGAGAAAAGGTCATGCAGAAATGGTCTTTTTTACAGTGATAATCATAACAAATCACATCTTTTTTTTGTTCTAAAATTAACAAAATGTGGCGATGCGGTCATTATACTTTTCTATGCGGCTCCTATACATCCCAATTATCACTTCTTCTCTTGCTTCCACACCGAGACAAAAATAAGATCAAAACATMAACAATGAAACGGCTTCTTTTCTTTCCCATCTGGCTCCAGTTTCATATACAGTGTGTGTAGGCTAACTGGCAAACTCTGTTCATGTTGAAGAGCCCAGAATCCCGCACGGCTACACAAAACATTTACAGCAGACCACTTTTACCGGCCTGCTCTCATAGATTTGTTTGTTATGTGTCGGACACAATAAAGTTGCAGAGGCAGGAAGAGCTGCAAAGTTGAGACGTGAAGAATCGTTGGAAAGTGTTTGTGATGATGAGCTGAAAATCAGTTGATGATTTTATCAGCTTTTTTTCCAAACAAAACAAATCAGAGCACCATCGTTTTGCAGTATGATTTATATATTTCACCTAAAATAAAATCATCATGATGAAAAACAAGGC